TTATTTACTAGATGAAAAAAGGTTAGTTAATTCTTGCCTGACACTATTTTCATCACATAAAATACGTGCCAAGTATGGTATCATAGAATTTTTATACTTAGACGTGCGAGCATACAATTTTCTGAAGTTACTTCTTGTTCTACCTGAGGAGATGCAAGGTGAAAGCTGAGGGTGAAGTGGATGCTCCAAGTCAGACAAAATCCCTTTAGCAAATTTACTGCACGAAGTCAAGTGCCTATCGACAACAACGTTAACTATGTAGTCCACTGGGACACCACTCACCCTACTGACAGTCTTCAGCATTCTACGAATTGTGACATAGTCCTTTTTAAGCAAACCTGGAAAGAATAAGGGTGAACAATAAAGAAGAATAGGTAGGATGCAAGAGTTTATGAACTGTAAGAGGAGGGGTTGAGTTATACCTGATTGCCTTAACTTCCTAATGATAAATGTCAGGCGGAATACTTTACTGGAGATCGCTGAGACATGGGAAGACCAGGAGAGATCAGAAGAGAGAATAAGTCCAAGACACTTAATTTCTGATTTAATTCCTATATCACTGTCGTCAGTCTTACAACTGTCATGAGATTCGATTGCTTCTTTTAACTGTCGTTTACATCTTAAGCTGAAATTAACAGTTTGAAATTTAGAAGGATTTAGTTTAAGACCGTTAGACTCAGACCATTTACTGACTCCCGACAGAAAGCTATTTATTTTGGTACAATCTAGCTGGGAGTTAACAGCCATTGAAACAGTTAAGTCATCAGCGTACTTCACAAAGTTTATTTCATCAGACTGAGGCAAGTCATGTAAGAAGAAAGAAAAAAGAAAAGGAGAAAGAACAGCGCCTTGAGGGACACCAGCTTCAGTAGGCAATGAAGTGGAAGACTTCCCTCCATACACGGTGTACTGCTTTCTTTCTGAGAAATAGGAATGTAACCAGTTAACAGCTCAACATTCTGTTTGACTTGCAGCAAGTTTATTCAATGAGATGTCCCTAGGGACCGAGTCAAAAGCAGATGTATAGTCTAGGAAGGCACAACGAACAAATTTAGCCCCTTTGTCTAGACTGGAAGCAATGTTATGATATAAGACGGCAGCTGCATCTAAAGTGCTTCTACTGTGCTTATAAGCAAACTGTTTTGTTTCACTAAAGGATTTAAGAGAGGGTACAACACTAAGTAAAAGTAGTTTCTCCATAGTTTGCAAAAAAGGAGAGGTAATAGCAATGGGTCTAAATTTGACACATGCTCCAGTAGACGATTTAGGTATGGGTACAACTTTAATGTCTTTCCAAACAGCAGGCACAATATTACTGGAAAAAGATTTGTTAAAAAGATCAGTGAGAGGGTAACATAGAATATACAGTGGTTCTTTGACTGATATCAATCCATGGTCAAACTCGTAAAAAATAATGATAACAAATAGTAATAATAGCAGTAGGTCTGTCTCATATAGTATGAAAATCATAGCAGGTTATAGAATACTGAATCTAAAATCCTTTTGACACAGAATGGCGAGGAGAAAAACAAAAATTTATTACAGAGCATAAATGGTGTTTACACTTATGAGGAAATAAACAAAAATGAGAGGATTATAAATATAAGAAGAATAATAACAGTATGGCTTGATGGTATAAGGATGGATGAAATTCTAGTAGAAAGAAGGTTAGTTAGTTAGTTTGTGCCTGACACGACTTTCATCACAGAAAATACGTGCCACCAAATATGTCATCGTGGAATTTCTAAGCTTAGACATGAGCACGCGTAAAGACGACTAGTGGCGTCCGTCAAGGATGCCCATTATCCCCATTCCTATTCAACTTCATCATAGACGTACTAATGGACTTAACCCTAACACACTTCAGCGACTCAGGGATTGACTTGCTACCAGGGAATAATCTCGTCGAATTAGAATATGCGGACGTTATAGTCCTTCTAGTCGAGGACGCTGACAAAATGCAGAGTCCACTGAACACCTTGAGCAACAATCTTCGTATGTTTGACATGCGATTCGCCCCTGTAAAATGTAAGATGATGCTGCAGGATTGAACTTCACCGACCCCTAGAGCACGTTGACCGCTTCACTTATTTGATAAGTACCATCAGCCCCAACGGGTTGATCTCTCACGAAATCTCAGCACGAATACAGAGGGTTAGTTTCGCATATGCCAGTTTACGCCGCCTCTGACTTAGTAGACGTGATATCCGACTATCGACCAAAGGGTGCGTGTGCTGCTCAACAGTCCGCTCCGTCCTCCTTTATGGCTGTGAGACCTGACCATTGAGAGCAGAAGACATCTGCTATGTCAAAAACACATTTTCACTCTCTTTTATATTCTGATATCCCGTTTAGCTGGCCCCACTATTGCCCATGGTCTCTCATTACCTTCTCTCACGCCCTTCTCCATGCCACCCTAACACCGACGACCCGCTCGTCGTTTTCCATACGGGTTCCACTCGAACGATGGTCCCGCGCACGATGTAATTCGATGGCCTCCTTAGCGTATTCCCAATTCTTCTCCATTTTCTCGTAAATATTTGTTCAGCAATCGGCTCTTTGTTGGTTTGTTCCTGGGCAGAGTTTGTTGTTACCAATTCTTTCTCTCTGGCCATTTGATTTTCATTATGCAGTCATTGAAGGCAGCTGTTTATAAAAGACTGTGAACTGTTGAAAATCATTTTCATGACATACGCTCAGTAAAAGTTTCTGACCCATCCATATAGAAGAACTGACAACCTGACCTAATATTTGTGTTGAAAATACAAATGCCTTTCTTTGTGCCGTGAAGAGCAAAAGATTTCCAAACCCATTTCAGATTAGTGAAGGTGTATTTTGCCTTTCTGATTCTGTCTGGTTTTGACATGACCATCCGTTCCGCCTGTATTTGATACGATGCTTCCTAGATAGTTGAAGGAAGCAACCTCTTTCAAATTTCCCTCGTCGATAGTGATTGGTGCTGTTTTAGTTGTTGTTGCTGTTGATTGGTTATCTTCATCACCACCATCTTCTCTATGTTCACCTGTGGTCCTGTCTGCAAAGCTTCTTCAGCCAGATTGCTGGTTTTCGCCTGCAAGAGTTGACAAACTGTAATAGGAGGGGTTGAGTTAGTTATACCCGAGTGCCTTAACTTCTTCATGCAAAATGTCAGACGCAATATTTTTTGTAAATCGCTAAGACATGGGAGGACCAGAATAGATCAGAAGAAAGAGTCAGTCGAAGAGACTTAACGTCAGACTTGATTTCAATGCGAGTATCATCAATTTCGCAACAGTCATGGGAATTAACAGCTTCATTTAACTTAGTGTTACCTGAAAGTGATAACTTTATTACTACCTCATATTGTATTAGTCTACAGTCAGAAAATTTTAAAACTTTCTCAAATCACCTTTGATTTACACACAAAATGACATACTTTTGCAGTTCAACAAAGATTAGACCTGGATATCATAAATGTTCCATGCCATAAACTACCGACAGGTTGATGTGAATAGTGGAATACCTCACATGCCAACCAGCAGTTGTGCTTGCTAGCCAGATTGAAATGGTTTAAATATCGGACGGTAATTTCTCTCGTTTGACATCAAGCTCATCAGCTGTGTATCCGTTTTGACTTATTTCTGACAGCTCAATCTGTTCAAACTACCCGAATTCTTATTAGCCACTTAGACGAACCGGTAATTCCATGAATCTTATTCAAGACGCTTGATTTGCGATCTAAACAGACTGAGGTTGCCTTTTGGGCACCTAAATTACTCAGACCACAATTTGTTATATGGCTGATACCATAAATAGCAGCCAAGTGAACAGTCATACATTTATTCGCCTCATTAAGTTGAATCAAGCCGAGTACACTATTGATAAGCTTAGTGTCAAACTGGCGAGACGGCTGTCCTGTGTTCAGATCACCTCGATGTGGCTTGCAAGCACCACTAGTTGATATGAGGGATATCAAACTACTCACATAAATCGATCAGTAGTACATAGCGCCATGCATCTGCGTTTGCCTTCTTGACTTTCATTTATGGCAGCAAGCAGATCACGTATTGTGATTTGATTAATTTTCGTTTCCAAAAGAAACTGCGCTGTTAAATTCCACCTTGGACTGTGTAAATTGTAAATCCCAGAGTTCGTTTTTTTATACCTTCACGTTCCTTGTGAAGCATAGGGCTTCAAGCTAGAGGCTTGAAGTTTCTGTAGCAGTGGTGATTATTTTTTACAGGATGGGGTTGCTAGTCTCATGCCTAACCTTTCCTCTTTATCAGTCTTATTTCTGGCTTAGCAAGGTAAAGGAGTGCGTCCGTTGGCTAGGGATCGAACCCCGGACCAGGTAGGTACATCCATCTGAAGAGCCCAAAAGAGGACGAAATGCTCATTCTGAAATCTACTGCTAATTGCTACTCACCAAACTACTTCAACTCCGAGTTCTAGCTGTCGAGAATTCATGTGTAATTACTACGGAGTAGTTTGAAACTAGAAAGAAACGACTATTTCACACTTTTTTAATTTTTCCCTAAATGATTTTGGGTTCGGACAATATAAATTTTTGAAGGCAATTCACTTCCTTCAAAATCAGCGAGTGAGGCTTATTTATGGATGGCTGCCGACAACGAAAAACACTCTGAAGCCGACTACATTCACATAAGTTTATCCACTGAAAAACAAGTCAAATAAATATCTCGTCAGCGACTTCATAGCTTCCTGGAATCCAACTAGGATAAACTAAACCATCCGATATTGGCAGAGACTGATGGGAATGTTATCGACGAAGCTTCATATAATATCAAAAGCCACTATTACTGATGTATCATTGGCCTGATAAGAATAATTCGTATGCCAAGCAGCTGACTTACTTGCCCATGTCTGGTGATCATATTAGTCGTTTATTTGTTTATAACTTTGCATAGAACTGATACAGTTATATATATTTCTATTACTAGTACTATTTATTTTATCATCGAACTAATCAAATACATTTATGATCATGATATTTTTTTTAGCCACATGGGTAGGAGGTGGTTACATCAACGGGACAGCTGAGAACACATATAATCCAGACCAAGGTCTACTATGGTGTCAAGCTCCAATTGGTTATGCAATAAGTCTAATAATCGGTAAGTAAATAGTTCACACATATATATATGTAAAGCCTATAATATTTCTTTCTCTATGAAACCGCCCTATGATCACACACTCAGACTCAATAGTCATCAGCTGTATTCCTCAAAGATTAATGAAGCTCTCAGTTCTCGGAAATTATTATTTCAATGGCGTATAGTATTCACAAAGGGGATGAGGATTTCAAAGACAATCACAATCAGAAAAACAGGACAGGAGGCGTAGACACTTAAAGTAGTCTGTCACCAAAAGCATTTTCGGCATGCAGGCTACTACAGGCTTTCATCAATACGCTGATCCCACCGCTCATCAATGAAGATCAGATAGATAGACAACAAGGAATTCAGGCAACGAACCAACCAAGAGTCTATTGTGAGGGAAGAAACTGAAATGGATGGGATATATGCTGAGGAAACTACTGAGTGACGTCACACAACATGCCACTGAACCAAACTTGAGTGGGAAGCAACGAGTAAAATGGCCATGTGGTGCTGAAGCCTTAAGTTCCACTAGGATTTCGAGAGATGAATAATAAGAATAATAAAGTGTCACATTTACAACCTCTGAAACACTAGCATTCATCTTATATAATCTGAACGTTCTACACAACATTTACTCCAGTTGAATCTCTGTCTAGATGCCCTTGGATATTTGAATTTTTTCCCATCCATAATTTAATTTACGTCGAACGGGTTATCGTTTCTACCAGCATTACTTGAAATATTTAAATATGAATCACCTAAATAAAGAACAGAGAAGTCTGAACGTTTTATTATGAAGTTGAAGAGGTCAACGTGGATAATTCCTACATCGGTAATGAACAAAGAATCATCTGTTTCAGACCTAAGAGGTTCACCACTTAGCAACTGTGACTCCATTAAGGTAGCCAGATGCTGTTTCATCTATTCACCTCTATCCCTACGTGGAAATACCCTATTTACAGTGCGAGACATGAAACCTTTTGGCCATAGCCCATTATCCTATTATGGATGTTTTCGGCCATCTAAACACCCGTCGCCCTGTATGCGGTGACAGCCGTGACACGCTGTGACCAAAGTTTACTTTCGTAATCCTGCCGTCTGTGTCATTGGAGGAGTGACAACATTCCTTCCGGTGCTCTGAGTATCAAAGTGAAGAAAATCACTTGAGCACAGATAATGGCGAAAACGTTAAACGTGGCAGCTTCCTTCTCGTGACTAAAAGCTGCCGCAAGCATGAACAACATTCCCATCTGGCTACTCAGCTCAAATGGACAGTTCCGAGAAACCCCTAGGGCTCAATGTGGGCTACAGGAGTGCCACAGACCGAGATCACAGGAGGCTCAAGCGAAGCGGATGGGACCATTTTAACTTGTGACTCATGGTTATCAGGTGGCCGTAGATGCCTCGGCAACCTCATCAAGGATTGATGGAAGGGTGTTCCAGAAGGCGATCAGTCAGAAGCGGTGTTCGGGCTAGTGAGAAGTTGGTTGGCGTTTTGGGATCTTGTGTCCATGAGGCAGGGTGGGCTGTCTCCAGTGCTCAAGGGTACCTGATTAGGTGTTTCCGTCCTGTGATTCATGATGGGGAAGCACATGGGTCGTTCTGTTTAGGAAGAAGCAACGTCTCAGAGAGATTGTTCTGGGATTGTATCAATGACTGAAACAGCTCACATCACAGTTCACTCCCGTGACTCCAGTCTGAAGGCTTCAGCAGTAATCACAGGCGACGTCGGGTGAAACTCCATTATGATGGCGAACACAAATCAAAGTGCCAGATCATTTCTAGATATATTCACAGTAGCTATATTTTTAGGCACAATAAAGACTAAGGTTATTTAAGAGAAATGATTTAACAAGCTCAAGTTTTGATTACAAAACGAATTCCGTCAGATGATAGTTGTTTCGTCCTTCTTTGGGAATTTTCATCAGTACTGACTTGTGACTCCATCAGAAACCATAAACATGGTCTTCAGGCTACAAGACAAGCTCGTAGACTATTCAGCGATTGAGAAGGAATTCGCTTATCGTGACTTCTCTCTAGAGAATCTGGCGATTTTATCCTAAAGTCACTAACCAGGGCGCACTAGATTAAATTTCAGGTGCTGGTATGCACAGAAATTGATTGATCCCAAGACTGGTCACGAAAAGACCTTAGTTAGAAAACCGGTACGAACCAGGCCGTACAGAATGTGTAGAACTTGTTGAGCGTACTAGAATGTAATTCCATACTAAAAAAGTTTATCTGAAATAAAGCACCAGAATTTATTTAGAAGTGTATAAAGAACCATAGAAAAAATAAGATTAGTGACGAAAATGGCAAAAAGTCACAAAAATAATATAGAAATCAAAGCTTTTACGGTAATTTTTCAAGTATTGGTTTGGTAGGGATTTTGTTTAATTGCATGGTACTGCCGTATAAAGAAGGAACGTCACAGGCCTTACTGAGGGTTCTCAGTGAGGCTGGAATTAGGCTGGCACTTGAACCACCCAACCAACTCTGTCGGAGATAAACGTTTTTGGCTTATGGACCAAATACCATGTAATGACTGTGAAGTCAGTCACATAGGTCAAACTAGCAAATCAGGGTCAATCAGGTTAGCGGAAATTAAAAATTTAGCTAGACAGAGAATAATTGACCCTGCTAAGTTAAATAACCTGGAAGAAAGCTCAGCTATTGCACTGCATTCACTTGTATGTAATCACAAAATAGGATGGGTGGGACAGGGTGAGAGTTATAGAAAGTAATATCGGTTGGTCGGTCGGTCGGTCGGTTTTCGACATAGAACTTTGCACAGATGTGCGGCAGTTCAAGTCGCCACACTCCATGTAACACACAAAGCAAGAGAAGAAAGTAGAAGAAATGCATAATATAGTCAGTAAACAGAGGTGTGAGACAAAGGAATAGTAATAACGAAGAACGAAACAGTTTCATTGGAAATCATAAGTCACAAGGAGTGGATGCATCTGCGCTATGCATTGAGAACGATTTTGAGCCATGTCACCAATTGTTTCCAACCACTGGTTTTACCGTCCCGAGGACCCCAACCAGGAAGTCTACATCTTCCTACGTGGCTTAGATTAACCATTGTATATTTCATTGACTGGTGCTATGTTTTCGTTTGACCGTCGCTAGCTCTTTTCCAGCCTGACCCTATATCAGCTAACATTGCCTGTTGTCGAGGAAGGCGATGACTAGGCATACGTACAATGTCCAACCATCTCAGTTGATGTAATTTCACAGTTTCGTCGACTGATTTCCCCGCCTTACCTAGCACTCGACGCCTAACCTCAGTATTGCTCACCTTATTATACCACTTCACGTGGGAGATAGAACGCAGACACCTATGATCGAAGACAGCTAATCTTTTCATGTCTTCTGCTCTCAATATCCACGTCTCACAGGCATAAAGGAGGACGGAGCGGACTGATTAGCAGTACACACGCTCTTTGGTCGATAGTCGGATATCACGTCTACAACAGAGACGGCGTGAACTGGCATATGCGAATCTAGCCCTCTGTATTCGTACTGATATTTCGTCCGAGATCAACCCATTGGGGCTGATGGTACTTCCCAATTAAGTGAAGTGGTCAACGTGCTCTACCACTTTACTTCCTATTTCTAATCTACGGGTCGGTGAAGTCCAATCCTGCAGCATTATCTCACATTTTACAGGGGCGAATCGCATGTCAAACATACGAAGATTGTTGCTCAAGGTGTTCAGTAGACTCTGCTGGCTTTTGTCAGCGTCCTCGCCTAAAAGGACTATATCGTCCGCATATTCTAAGTTGACGAGATTATTCCCTGGTAGCAAGTCAATCCCTGAGTCGCTTAAGTGTGTTAGGGTTAAGTGCATTAATACGTCTATGATGAAGTTGAATAGGAATTGGAATAATGGGCATGCTTGACGGACGCCACTAGTCGTCACCACTTCAGATGACAACTCGCCATAAGCCCTCACCTGGCTGCATGAGTACGACTAGAAAGTAATATAGTTAGATGGAGAAAGAGGTGAATCACTGAAGCTTTGTTTAACGATTCAACAACGCACATGGGCAATCGGAATTATGCAACGCCTATACCTGAAATACGGAAAGTGGCAACAAACAAATAGGGGAAAAAGGAGAGAGGGAGATAGAAACAGCGAGAGGAGTATATACATCTAAGGCAATAATTTATGCTGGAAACGTCATCCAGTTGTTAATACTGCATCATTGTGTGATATTTCAAATAAACTTATTTTATATACAATAAGCCATACTAGACAGATGTTTTGCACCTCTTTGAAACTCTTCAACAGTACACTTCCATGGCCCCACCTCGGGTCAAACTAAGTACCTTCAGCCAACGAGGCAAACTCGTTGACTATTCAGCTGGCTGATCAGTTAACTAACAGCTAGTAAAAAAGCCATGAAACCGTGTGTGTTAACCAACAAAAATGTCGCATGAAATGGTTTGAATGAGAACTGATTAAGAAAACAAACTATAAAATAAATGAAACAGCCGAAGATGCACTATTTTATTTAATACCTTGATATTTCAGTTAGTTTTGTTTATTGTAGAATTTTATCATGAGCTGACACCGGCTAGAGAACCACTGGAAAACCACCTGGGATTACTGAACATCTATTTCATCCTAGTTTGGAAATCTTCGGCAGTAGGCACCCACTGGGGTTCGAACCTAGGATCTCCTGGTTACAAGACAAGCTCGTAGACCATTCAGTCACCAGGACTCGATCCAGTGGCCATCCCATGAATTCCAACTTTCAATAATTCACGATATAGTACGACTACCATCCGGGACCCAGTGAATTAATGATCCACGAGCTCGTCTTATAACCGGATGATCCTAGATTTTAAACCCCAGTGGATTCCTGCTGTCGAAGAGTACCAAACTAGGGTGAAACAGATGTTCGGTACTCCCAGGCGATTTCGAAATGGTTCGCTAACCGATGATTTCAGCTCATGATGATCTGCAGTAGTGTGTCTATATCGCTTAGATATTCATATTCATATAG